GTCGCAATCTTTGGTTTAATAAGAGACACAAAAAACTAATTTAAATCCAAGAGAAACTTTTTAATTAAAATGAGTAAAAAGTATATTTAATTCATTTCAAGCGATGGCTAATCAGTTCCACAACTGAACGCATATTTTTCGCGAAATACAACAACAGTTAGACATTACATGTCTTGAGTAGCGGATTGTGACCTAATTTGTGATCATTAGACATACAAATCAAGTTGTGTTGGCTTTTTGAGGTCAACTAGTTTTTTAAACTTTTTTGCTGAGCTTTCAGTGTATTGTTTGCATAGAATTGTAGACAAATTCTTATGGGTTTTATCATTTGAAACCAAAATTACAATTGTAATCAGAGATAAAACTCGTAGAAAAAACTTTTTTCTCGTGTATTAATCTCTCGATCATGTAATGAGAGTTAATTACGAGAGTTATAAATAGATATACAAATGCATTAATACTGTGTTTTAGGTATCATTAAATGCAATTTTATTGTTTTAATTTCCAATTGCATAATCTATACACAAATATACACATAAAACTACACGATTTTTATAAAAATTTCCTTAAAATTTAAGTGAAATTATTTTACTTTTAAAAATAGCAATAAAACAATTAGTGATAAATTTTTAGTGAAAAACTTTTCAATGACTTTTCCCATTCAATATCATTATAATTATTAATTAATGTCGAAGTTTCACTTATTTTTTGTAATAATAGGATTCAATAATATCTGTATTATTATTGATAAGACAATAGGTTGACCACTAGACCCCCTCCTGATCCCACAGTTTGCTTAAAACATTTAAATTACACCAAGTACAGGGGTAACTAACAGGGAGTATAATTAAAGTAACTACAATTTATATATTAGTTTAGTTTATACCGTATTTTATGATCAAATTTTGTGTCAAATAAAAAATAACTTTTAGTCGATTCGTATAAAACAAAATCAATTCATAAGAGATTTGTTTGAATTCTTATAAACTGCACAGTAGTTGGTGACATACAATCAAGTAAGCAGGGCAACTTAACGTTTATAATGACTACAATTAGGGTCATTTCGAAACTGATGGTGTATGTGATGACTGTTGACATGGCATGTGTTGAGACATACTGGCCATGGAGGCAATACGTCTCTTAAGGAGGTATACGTCTCTGGCGTGTTGGTAGGCGCTGCTGGAGTTGCCGTTGTCTGAGTTTGTGCCTAATGTTTATACAGTAAGGAACGGCACATTTGTTTTCCTGACAGTGTTTGGCGTGATAGCAGCACAGGGCGATCAGCTGTTTACAGATGGGACAGCCGGGGGCAGCCGTTTGGTTGGGTTGGTTGGATTGGTTGGACCTCCGTTTGCAGGACTTGGCGTGTCGTACGACTCGCTTCATCTTATGACACAATGGGAGTCGACAGTCGGCGTCCCGGCACTGACACGAGTGGATCAGATTCCCAATACATCGCTGGATCGATAGGCGCCGCGCGTCCGCACGAGATGTGTCCGAAGAACCTCCGCTTCCTATGCGTACAAATGTTTTAGCAATTAGTGAAGTGATGGTCACTCCTATACCCAGCGACAGATGAGTCATGTCGTGCACGAGGTGTTCCTCTATGCCCTCAATTGGCGGTCCGTCTGTCGTCTCCATATTCATGTCTATGTCTTCTGTCTGTGCCATGGAATCAGTTATTATGATGAGTACCACAAGTGTTATACCAATATAATGATAGCCTATTTACTGTTAACATATACAGCCATAGACTATCTTTATCTCATATTTGCTTATAATATTATCTCAAAATAAACTCATTTCCACAAACTCTCTCTCTCTCTCTCCGTCTCTCTCTCCGCACCCTTTCTTCCCTTTCCTCCACTCACATAATTATACAAAATGTTTGAATAAATGGGCTTTTGTTGAGCTAGGGTTTTGTATAATTATGTTCACTCATAAACTATTGAATTATGAATTCAATTCATTACTGGATGTTTTTTAAAATTATTAAATGTTAAAAATATAATATATTATGTGTATATTAAATTGCAAGACTAGCTTTGAAACTTTTACCTGGTAGCAATGCATTGACAATATGTTGGATATACAGTATTACTCACCACGTACTCACAGGATTGTCAATTCATTACTAACCAGGTAAAGTTTCAAAGCTAGTTTTGCAATTTATAATTTATATATTAATATTTGTGTGAAAGTTAAGACATAATATGTATCTTATTATCTATTAGATATTATCTTATCTACAGATACTACAGCTTACAAATGCATGTTAAGTTTTGCATAAGAATTAGTTGATTATAAATTCTAATATATAGAATATTCTTGACCTTATGGGAGTTTAACCTCCAAGGTAAAATGTATGCTATAGATTATGTACAGTAGTTCAAAAATTATATGCAGTACTAGCTAAATATTGTTTCGGGGAGTTTAGAATTATTCACGAGAGCTATTAATACTGTAAA